TCCCGATTCCCATTTTTCAGGAGGTGCCCTTTGCCCTCTCGCTGTGTAACCTACCCCCAATGCTGAACCACTCAGTCTCCTACCCTTTGGCCACCTGTCCTGAAAGGAACATCCACTTCCATTCCCTCCCCACACTGGCCCAGGGGGACCACTGCTTAAATGCCAAGATGTCTGCTTCAGAATTGTAGCCTCCTCTCACTGAGGATGGGAGCTGGAGGTATCGGGGCAGTGCAGGAAATGGAGCTGACCTCAGGGAGGTGGTACTGACACAGAGGCCAGGGCCCATCTAGATGTCACATAATGAAAGATTTTAAAAAGTCCAAGGCTCCCTTGTGTCTCATTTGCTGTTAGGAGGGAAAATGTCTGAGGGGGGCACTTCACAAACCAAGCTGAAGGTCAGAGTCTCACCAATACCAATGGGAACTGAGGGTTGGCTGCGGGGGGACATGCTGAACCAGTACTTGTGATGGGCTCAACATCCCTCTAAACAGTATGTAAGAACAAAACCGTATGCCAGACCCTGGGCTAGGTACCCAAAGGCACTGCCATTCTGTGGGACATTAAGCACAGTTGCGACAAGAGTGACAGCCACTGAGGATGCATGAACGATGGTGATTGGTAGTGGCCAAAACAAGTCAGTATGAAACCCATGAGCCACACTGCACTGCTGCTGGAATTGCATTCTTTGTTAACATCTAAGATGTATTGCGTTCTTGTGTGGTTGTCTACATTATTTCTAATACAAGAACATTGCCAAACAGATATCACAATCCTCTTCTTACAGGTGAAGTTTCCAAGGGCATTTTTCGTATCTTTTTTTTTTTGGTGGTACGCGGGCCTCTCACTGTTGTGGCCTCTTCCGTCGCGGAGCACAGGCTCCGGACGCGCAGGCTCAGCGGCCATGGCTCACGGGCCCAGCTGCTCTGCGGCATGTGGGATTCTCCCGGACCGGGCCACGAACCCGTGTCCCCTGCATCGGCAGGCGGACTCTCAACCACTGCGCCACCAGGGAAGCCCTGCCGTATCATCTTTATGTTGCAGAGCAAGGTCTCAAATTTATTTCTGTCTAGCATCAAATTTCCTGATCTTCCCACCATATACCATGGTGTCCATTCCCTAATGAAGTCTTGTTTGAAGACACTTGGAAAATGATTTATTGTGTGTGTAATTAACTTGGTTCAAGGATTGGCTTGGGGGAAGGGCTGGTCAATGAACCTCCTAAAAAATGTACTTTTTAAAAAAAATCTTTCTCAAGGGGATTCATGGCCTCTCCCAAAGTTAAGATCCACTGTGTACAAATATTAATTTTTGTACCTTCTGGAAACTATTCTAAAAGGAGAGACAAAGATAATACTGGCTATTTGGTCCCAGTTCAAAGATAAGAAAACCCAGCTCTGCTCCAGGATATAAAATTTTCCCTTTCACTTTGGAAATGAGAAAATCATCTTACCATATATGTAAATGAGCTAAGCTTTTTTCCTCCTGAGAGGAAAGGCCACCCAGATTGTGTGTGTGTGCAATCCCAGAATCTAGCAGTCATGTAGAGCTATTAAAAAATTTTTTTTTCCTGTGTGTGAAAAAAGCCCAGCTCCTCCCTATATGACCCCTTATCTTGAAATGGATTTCAAGCCTTTTTCCTTCTTCTTTTCCAAAGACATTGGAATATTTCTTGTAAACATGCTCTTATATTGAATCTCAAAATAGAAAACAGGCGTAAGTGGAACTTCTCTGGTTGATACAGAGGCAGGGGCTCACTCTTCCCTCATCCTGCTCCCTTCCCACTCTGCACATGCCAAGACAGCCTTCATTTCTTCAGGCCAAATTGGGTGGATCTTCAGGCAGATTCTTCAACGTTACTTTCTGTCCACCATCTGTTAGGCTTTGCATTCAAGAGGAGGAAGGAGCCCATAAAAATAGGGATCAAAGCAGATTTTTTTCTTAGTAATTGGGGGGATGGAGGGGCGAGCCTTTAATCACAGACACAGTGAGAGAAAAAAGAAATGTTTTATTTAAATTAAAACTGTTTTATTACTGATATTAAATAGCAAAGCCCAAATCAAGTGATGGAAATCTTGAATTCCCTCCCTAAACAGAACCAAAATTGCTTAAACATTACCAAAATAGCTCCACTTAAGCAAAGTAGATTTACATTTCTTAATATGAGAAAACAACAAGGTAGGTTAGGTTCGTATAACAAACAGTACACGCTCTATAAAGTCTCAGGAATACCCAAATGTGTTCTGGTTTGGATATGAAAGAGGGGACCATATCAAACTGGCGTTGGTAAGCAAGCCAATGAAGTGTAGCAAACAAAAGCTGTTACTAAAAACAACTCAACAGCAGGCCATATGCGTATGAGCCCATCACAGTCAAAATCTTCAACTGTGACCGGCAAGACCAACATGGGGGGCGTGCAGATGTGGTTACGTCCAGAGATATAACGTGAGGGGGAACGCCAAAGGAAGGGAAAGAAACCAGCAGCAGGTGAAGGGTGTCCACTCTTCAGCTGTGCTGTATCAGACACAATCCTAAGAGCCAGGCCCTTCTCAGCCTTTAAGACGACACTACAGTCATCCCTAAGCCAGGTTCTCTCTTCTTTTGGTTCTTCTCTTCCTATAATACGTTGCCTCTCTGATTTATGGGGGAGGCTCTCTAGGTAAACGTTATACCAGATAGAAGGCGAAAGAAAAACAGGACCAAGAAGACATGCTTTGGGTAACTCAGGAAAGCAGCAGAAGGAGCTGCCAGAGTGCAAAGGTAAAAGCATTTGAAACGAAAACCAAAACCAAACTCACTACTACTACCTAGCCTTCCTCTCAGGGCTGAGGTGTGGTAGGTGAGGCTTGATTAGAGATTGACACAAGTCATAGGTTGGATAAGTTAAGACAACTTTCAAATAAAAATCCCAAATTAATAATGATATAGGCTTATGAGAATTCTTTTTTTAAGCCAATGAATATGCTCAACTTAGAACAAAGGAGTTCAAGATGTCCTAGTTCTGCCTGGGAAATATGGCACTTTCCCAGGCGGTGTGGCAAGGGTACTCACAGGTCTGAGGGTGCAGCAGGAACACCTCTGCCAAATGTGGTGGGGAGAGGATAGAACCATCCAGCTGGCTCAGGGATGATGGTAGATGGCGGAGACGCTTCAGATGGGAAGAACGGAGGCTAAACTAAAAAGCACAGCTGATGTAAAAGAAAAGTATACACGAAGAGTTAAGGTGTCCTCAAAGTATTTGCCTATGAATAAGAATTTGAAACTAAAAAGGACAAGCTACATTACCCTCAAGTATACTTCATATAAATCAGTTCTCAAAAAAATACCTTTCAGGTACAGACATACTATTTATGGTACAGTACATATAAATATAGCAGTATAATTCAATTTATTGCTAGAATTTTATTTGGTTGTTACAAAATCTGCAAGGGCATATATATTAAAAAGGGGAGGGGGCATGAAAGGCAGCCAGAAGAGTAAGTTATCTTCAAGTTACCTAAAGTGCCAGGCTAATTTTATACTATATTTAAACCTTTCCAAGAAAGTAAAATAGCATAGGTAGGCAAAGGAATTGTTTGAGAGAAATAGAGTGAGAAGCATAAGCCATAATGAGGTAAGCAGACACATTCATGGGAAAAGACTTCATCCTACTTTAACTAAATTTTAATATTTCTAGAAAAAAACCCCCAAGATTAGCCAACACCGAGCTGAACATCATATAAAGAAAAAAACCAGCCCTTAAATATTTAAGGGTGCTCCACTGCATCCATGGCTAACAGGGCAACCTGGACAAAGTTAAAATGGAAACTAGCTTTACTAAAGAAGTCTGAAAGCTTCTCTAGTTTCTCCCTGACTTGGCCTACAGCACAGTTAAGTTTTGCAGTTTTCCTTTTGTGTTGCCTGAAGATTGCTTCTAAGATCAACACAGCACACACAGAGGTGACATGGAGGAATGATTCCTTCCGGTTCAGGGACCTTCAGTAGCAGGGCTACAGAAGTATTTAATGGGAGTACTGCACTTGCTTGTATTAGATTTGCTGCCATAACATGGAGCCCCCTGCCCTAGGCCTGCCTGCCATGTTTGGCATCCTCTGGACAGAAAGCCTCTAGCTATTTCTGAGCTGTAATTGTAAGGAAACCTAATAGGATTTCAGGTGTTTCATTTCACCTTTTTGGCCTTAGCCCACAGAAGAACATATTAGGTTCTTGGTTAGGCCCCAGGTAAAATCTCAAGAAGTTTCCTGGATCAAAATTAGAGGCAGAGCTTTCCTCTATAGTTCCTGAGTAGCCAGGCTGAGACAGTGGCCGAAGAACTGCAGCCCTGCCATTCAGAATGGAGACAGTATCAGAAGTGAAAGTCAGTTACGGCTTAAAGGTAGACTTGAGTGGGTGCGTGGGGGAAGATAATCGAGTTCACTCAGGGAGGAAATGTAGCTCCCACTGGATAACTTTTTATGCTCATAAACCCTGAAACAGGATTAAAAGAGAGAAAATCCCCAACAAGACTTCTCTGGTTCACAGGTTGGGAGGAGCTAAGAGGATAGACCAAAGAGCCAGAATCCTGAGCCTGGAGGCAGCACCGTCCCCACAGTGTCCACTCCCTAAATCTACTCCCCCAGCACCAGGCCAAACCCCATGGCAGCACCGAAAGAGGATGTCTTAAGGAGATGGGGACACAGCTTCAAGCTGCTACCAGATCAGATTAGCAATTTTTAACAGCAAGTCATTTGTTCACATCCTGTTTCAAACCATTCTTCCTACTTCCCACAAAATATGCACAACTCTTTCTTTCATTTTAAATATTTACAAACAGAAAAGGTCTACCTGTTAAAGGAAAGACATTTTCTGAGTCTGTATAAAGTGCAGCTAATTTAAGGCAAATTTATGCGAAATATAAAAGGTGGCTTATTCTCTCTATATACACATTTTCCAGTTTTAAAAGATAAGGTCTCCTCCCCTCAAAAAAAAAGGAAAGAGAAAAAAAGAGGGCTTGACTTTTTTTCTGGCAATTTTAAAATTAAGATCCTACTGGTTTAAGGAAATCATAGATTTCTGAATATCATATTATAAGTAAAATGGTCTTTTTTAAAAAAATAACTTTTACATAGCTTTTTCAAACAAGTTAAAAGGTGGCAATGTGTCTGCTACTGTAGTTTGGAGGACTGGAGGATTGATGGGTAGGTAGAAGGGTTGTTTTTGTTAGCTGAGTAGATATTAGGTAGTCCAGGGTATACATCCATTTTTAAAATAAGCCTGATGAGGCTAGACACCTAAAGCTACTCTTAGCTCCAGGAATGAGTATCTTCCATCTCCATCAGAATCAAACTCCCTCAAACGCTCTGGTTCTGGCACAGCAGAATGTAAGGAGTCCCAGATTTCCTGGTAGGTCAGCTTCCCATCCACATCCTGCCCAGTCTTATGGAATAAATCCTGAAGATCTGTTAAAAAGGAATTACAAAAAAATGTATATGTCTATACATATAACTAAATTTAGTTAACAGTTTAAAAAGTAGTCTCAACAGAATTTTAAGCACTGAAAGAAAAGCTACTTTGCAGACTTTGTTCCCAAAAGCTAAAGTTTAAGATCTCACTAAATCTGAAAGACTGACTCTTGATCCTTTAAGAATGAGAGGAACACTGTAGGGCACTTTCGTCCCAAAACAGAATCAGTGACAGATAATCACAGGAGAAGTGAATGGACTGGCTTTCTCTCTGTTCAGGGCCTTTCTTTTAGATTTTGCAGATTTTATTCTTATGTTGAAGGGGTGGAAAGGACTGTAGAAGCCTAAAGAGCTAACTGATAGGACCTCTGATCGCCTATAAAACAGACTACGTATGGCATATTGTCAGTTCAACAGTTACTATATAACCCAGCAATTCCATTCCTAGGGTATATACTCAAGAGAAATGAAAACACGTTGGCTACACAAAAAGTTGTATACGTATGTTCATAGCTTCATTGTTCCTAATAGTCAAAAAGTGGAAACAACCCAAATAAATGTTCATCAACTAATGAAAGGAGAAACAAAATGCAGTATATCCGTAGGATGGAATATTATTCAGTCACAAAAAGGAATGAAATATTGCTGCACGCCACAACATGCATGCCAACCTTGGAAACATTATGCTAAGTGAAAGGAGCATATTGAAAGAAAGAAGCATACATAAGACCACGTATTATGATTCTACTTATATGAAACACCCAGAATAGGCAAATCCAAAGAGATAGTGGTTGAGAGATTAGTGGTTGCCAGGGGTGGGGGCAGGGGGATAACAGGGTGTAACTGTTCTCTCTTGGAGACTGACCCCCTCCCCGACCCAAGAGAGGGCCCTATAATAAAGACCTAGGAGGGCCAATCGTTTACACAACGTCTAAAAAGGGCTTGGATGTGTCCCAACTGAATGACTTAGTGGATTCAGTCTCTAATACCAGAGGACAGTACTGTCAAGCAATTTTGTAGACAAGCTTTTGGGTAAGTCCCTACTTTTAGTCCTGAGACAGCCCCAACAAAGCAGCTAAATAAAGTCTCAAAAGCTCTCTGAAAAGCCAGAAAAGCAGTGAGCCACTTGTTCCCAATGCCTGCCACCAAGTGGCTAGCTGGAAAATGTTTGTGTGTGTGTACATGGGGCATGAGTTTTAGAGCATGCTATGTACTCTATAGCAGTATTCAAATAAAAATCTGATTGGTGCCTCAGGTCATTTATAAAATGTAGTCATTCAGAAGTGTGTAAGGTCTCCGTTAGGGATTGAAGTATAAATGTTAAATTGGCTATTTCTTAATCTGCTCTAACTCTCTTTCCTCCTTTTATTCTCATCAATTCTTGATGTAATAATGAAGAGTAGGAGGAGGCAACTTGTGTTGCCAATAAACACAACTTAACACTCTATTGTCTCTCCAGAAAACAGAAAAAAAAAAAAAATTGGGGACAGGGAAAAAAGTATTTGTATTTAAATGATAACATAAATTTAAGCCTTCTACGCTTTAAAAGCATTAATTGTAGCCTGGAGATAACTCATTCACTTAACAAATATTCACATGTACCAGGCACTAGGCTAGGGGCTGGGACTGAAGTTAAATGTTATAGGTCCCCAGGAAATTACAACGGAGTGACACGTGCAAATGTAAGATATTATGAGTGCATACACAGGAGGAGCCTAATCCAGTCCTGGGAGGTAAGAAAATGTTTCCTGGTGGAAAGGTATCTAAACTGAGGTGAAGAGCCAGGCAGAGATAGGGTGACAGGAATGGGTGATTTTTCGGGCAGTTAGCAGCAAGTGCAAAAACAGGAGACCAAACACCATGAAGAGGGATGGAACACACACTGTTGGAGGCAAGGCAAGCACATTTCCCTGTGAATCATACCCTTCCTACTAAAGTTTTTCTTGCTGACTTTCAGCAAAAGGACCCCTCATTTTCGGAGGGCTCTGACAAGTAGGGTCAACTTTTACTTTATTTTGCTAATCTTACAGTATTGTGTTTGCCTGCTTGTCTTCTCCACTAGACTGTTATATCCATGAAGAAAGTGAGAATGATTCTTATACTGTATTCTTACTGCTTACACTGGGTCTAACCAGGCACTCACTGAATGAATGAAGAAGACTCTAAAAAACATTCATAGAGAGATAATATAGTGCAACGTGGTTAAGAGTGCAAACTTCAGTGTCAAACTGCCTTGGTGTGAATTTTGCCTCAATCAATTATTTGCTATGTGGACTTAGGTAGTTTCCCTATCAGTAAAATGGGTATAATACATGAATATTGATGGTCCCAGGATTGTTATCAGGATTATATGATATAATGCATATCAAGTATCTGGCCTATAGGAAGTGCTCAATCAATGTCAGATATCATTCTTTATCTTACAAGTTAAAAAAGTCAGAAAGTTATAACTGAGCATTTTCTCTATCACTCCATAATATAAAAATTTACCTTTGATGCTAGAAATTCCTGGTAGGGAGACAGGCCTTAGCTGGGCAGCTTTCTCAATCTGGCCTCCAAGAGACCGTGGGAATTTTGGCAATGCTGATGGCTTTGATGTGAAACTCTGAACTTGCTCTGTAACAAACAATACAGTTTTAGATTACTAATGTGACACCAAATTAAACCAGTATTGAAGGTCCTAACCTTTTAGGGCAAATTCATATTACTTAATTTAAGAGAAACAGCTGAGAATTAAGTAGCATAATGACTACATGAAGTTAAAGATACGAATTGAGATGTTTTGTGGATAAGTGAAGATCAATCAATATTATGTAACATTAAGGTTTAAAGCCGTGGTCCCACTGGATGCTCTTATAGTACAAGTTAGCATTCCACATGTTTAGAGGTTGAGAGTTCAAGCTGCAAGTGAGAAAAGCATTGGGTATTTGACAGCCTAGGAGCTGTGCTCTGAGCCTGATCTGGGAGTATCTGCCACCAGACCAGCTGGTGCTGAAAGAGTGCTAATATACGATTATGCAGCACAGTGTTAAGGCAAGGCCTCCCACTGTACTTTGTCTCTCACTTAAAAGAGAATCAAAGAAGTTGTATTGCTTTCCCCAAAATGAAAAATACTTGTGGGAGGGTAGGGGTCAAAACCAACATAATATTAATGCCGTGGTTACATCCTCATAGAGCAGCACCAGCAGAGGTTGACGCACCTGCTAATACTGATTAGGTTATGTCCCTGACTAAAGCCAAAGGCCCTTCCAACCCAATGATCCCATTGTTATTTGTTAATGGTTTTTCAGAAGGACTAATACTTATTTTTAAGTAAATTTTTATGCATTTACAAAACTGAAGACTCCCATAAACAACATTTAGGGCTGGTTTAATACATGCTACGACAGTAATGTTTTTGCCTATAATTGGATGCAGACAGCATGGAGAAGTCTATTTCCAGCTAAACATTACCCATTTTTCCCTTAATAGACTGGAGTACAAATCATGTGCAAAATGGGCTTTTTCTAAATGAAAGCAAAGTGTAGCAGCTTCATCTCAGTGCGCTCGGGCATCATTCACTCAGTGCCATCAGTCCTGCTGGAACACCTTTCCCCACTCTCTGTGTGGGAGGCGAGCTGCCCAAGCCTGCGTGAAATATTCAGAAGCCAACCCTGAATATCTCACCTTCATCGGCAGTCTCTGGAGGCCTGCTGCTCTCAGGTTTGTTTGTGAGAGCACTGATCAGCTGCAGTTTCTCTCTGAGCTTGGATACCTGAGAATCTGCACTATCTTCTTTCTGTCCAAAACAAAGATCACAGAAGGTTTAAGGCGGAAGGAAGACCTCATCTGATTCTTCATGATATACCCAAAGCCTATTTAGCCTGTAGTGCTTGACCCCAAGTAGGCTTCCTCTGAAGGCAATGAAGGAATGAATCAACAATTACTAGAGATATCTTTAGTACTCAGTGTTGATTAGGGCCTGGCTGGATTTGAGCCTAGACCATCAAAGGAACATTATGCTACAGATGATCTGATTCACTGTGTGCTTTTGGCGGATGGGCAAAGCAAGCATGTGTCAGCAGTAAAGGAAACATATACTTGCTCAGGTGCTGTTGTGATACCCATTTCCTAAATGGGTAGGATATTGTTTTCTAGGTACTATTTCACACTAACTAAATAATTTTCCTGAATAGCTTACTTCACCTTGTGACTAGATCGCTTTAGGCAGTTTTATGCTCTTATAATCTTAAAAAAAAAAAACAACCAACCAAACCACAAGTATTCCCCCTGATCTTCCTTCTCTGCCACCATGGTAATGATTCAACTGGTGGCAGGAACTGTTAGGAACATAAGGGAGCTACAATATTTTTTTTTACTGTTCTTCATTCATTTATTTGTTTATTTTTTAACATCTTTATTGGAATATAATTGCTTTACAATGGTGTGTTAGTTTCTGCTTTATAACAAAGTGAATCTATTATACATATACATATATCCCCATATCTCTTCCCTCTTGCATCTCCCTCCCTCCCACCCTCCCTATCCCACCCCTCTAGATGGTCACAAAGCACCAAGCTGATCAGGGAGCTATAATATTTCTAATTCAAGGCCTTACTTGTACCTTAAAAAAATTTTTCTCCCCTACCCTGCCTCATTCCCAGATGATATAGTGGCATATAAAAATACAATTAATTATAAAAAGAGAGAAGTCTGGTTTCTGTGAGGTCAGTTTCTAACTGTGTAGGCTAGTGTGAAAGGTCCTGAGCCCATGTTTAGTTAGAATATCGACCATTACACATTTCTTTTATTCAATATATATTTACTTATTTCTCTCATATCCTTATTCTACCCTAACAGCTAATGTACAGTAGATCACTCTTAGTTTATTTAGGGAGCTAAAATATGGATGTATATAGCTAAAACTAGGTACTAAATGCTTGAATAATTTACGGCAAGGAGAAATTACATTTCTTTTGGACACTTAGATGAGGTAGGACAAAGGGACTAATACATTGGGGTAAGAGTTAAAAACACAAAGTGTCAGAAAGTAAAGCCAAAAAATTCAGGCAAAAATGTGTACTAGCTCTATTTTATTCTGGTATTTACTGTCAAAATCTGAACTGTTGCTGAAATCACTACTGTTTTCCAATAGTAACCACCTGTTACTTTTTTTGTGCTTGAACATTTTTATCTGGATCTTAAATTCTTCTTTTCATTCTCTAGGTGAAGATAAATTTTTTTTGGGGTAGCAGCAGTTAGAAAATTCAACAAAAGCCTAGCTTATAAAGCACTAAAATCTTAATTTTTATCCAGAAAAAATAAAAAAAAATTTATCCAGACAATACAAAACTGTTAAGGAAGAACAAGTCTAGATGCAAAGCATTACACTGAAAACTGCCTGACATATGGTTCATTTCCTGTGAACCCCATCCTTGAGCTCATCGAATGCAATGTGCATCTGAAATTATATTTTAGTCACTCAGTCACAATCTTTCTGGCTTTTCCTTTTATTTATTTATTTCTGGCTTTTCCTTTATTTTAGCCAAGATCTTATATTAAACAGTACTCTAATCACAGAGAATGCTGAAAACAAACTTTCTTTCCTGGGATAACAAAGCAACATCACAGACTACTTGTCTTATCTTGACAATATGTCTGGGAAGAACAAAAAAAGGGAAGGTACAAGGTGAAGGGAACAGGCTGAAGCTTAAAGGGACTATGTATGTACTGAGACTGCAATCTTTCTTTTCCCCCTTCCACCCCCCAAGAGTCTGTAATTTTAAAAATAAGAAATAATTTTTAGTTTAGATGCCATTTTTAGATTATCTATGCCTCTCGTCATTAGTACAGATAACTTACTGTCTTAGCTTAAAAGTCACTTCCTTAGGGAAGCCTTCCTGTTCTCTGTTAGCACTGTTATACCCTATACCTTTCCTTTGTAGCACTTACACTCGTGATTATCTGCTCAATTATGTGTTAATGATCTTCTGGCTGATGGACTTCGAGCTCCACCAGAATAGGTGTCAGGTGTCTACCCTGCTCACTGTGGTCACACCAGCTCCTAGCAAAGAGCTGGGCAAGGGGCAGGTTCCTGATAAAGTACTTGCTTATTTACCAATATACTAATTTACTAATTACTTTGTCTTGAAGTTTCAAAAAAAGACCAAAGTGCTCCCTTTGAGAAAGAAGCAGGTGCTCATGCATTTATTCTTACTTCAGAGAAAGCCTCCTATTATTTACCTTTACGCTCTGGGATTTTACTGACTCTGTTCTGTTGGTCACTTGATGCAAAGACTCTCTCTTCAGAGTGGCAGCTCTATCATTCATCTTAAAGGGTAAAAGGAACAAAACAAGAGAAGATTAAAGGAAAACATTAAAACTTAAACAACATCCAGCATTTTAAAAACAAACTGGCCAAACTTATTTAAAGGGTCTCGATATACAACTGATTCACTATGCGGTACACCTGAAACTAACACAACGTTGTAAATCAACTATATTCCAATAAAAATTAAAAAAATAAATAAATAAAGGGTCTCAGAACACTTTCAACAGAAAACCAGCAGGAGAATGAGAGGAGAGAGGGAGAAAGGCCTCACAGAGACAAAGCTGAAACTGGTGCTTCTAGTTTCTATCACAAACTTTAAAACCTTGAAGTATAAAAGGCGAGAGGACTTCTACCCAAAACCATGCTGGGTATGATGCTGCTGGAAGAAACAGTAGGACAGATGGCACTATTAGCAATTTCCTCTTCTGGAAAAAAATAGGGTGAGGAGGGGAGGGACAGTATGGAGAGTTTTGGGGCTGGTGAGTTTTCACTATAAGCCTTGAAAACCAACCTTCAAGACCTAATACTCATCAAATCGTCCAAAATTCCCAGCCTCTACTGCACTCAGTTTAGCTAAGTTCAAAAAGGCTTTTAAAAATGAGGCTCCTTTGATCTTCACAGCTTTGTAGTAAATTACACACCCCTGTAAAAGAGGAAGAGGAGCAGGTCCTCTTACTCTACCCTCAAAGCCAAGGCCGGGCAACTTGCCAGGGCTCCACTGTAGCAGAGCCAGTTCAAAGGCTGCTTCATATGTGCCAGAGCTTGACTTGACTTGTAGGCTTGCTTCCAGCTTTGGTAGTTACTTGATTTATACAATTTATAAATTTATACAATTTATACAGTTACTTGACTTATACAATTTATACAATCTCCTGTATTTGGTTTCCATTTCTATATGCCTATGTCTTTACTGTAGGAAATCTTTAAGAGTGGGGCTTGCATCTATTAAAAAATAACCCACGTGGATTCTAGAACAAGTATATGTGAAAGGTGATTAAAAGAAACAACCAGCACATCTTATTTGCAATAACATGAAAACCAGTAAACCATACGGTATGTCAGCATCAGTGACTTAGTACGTCATTCAGGTTCCTCTTATGTAAAATGAGAGGACAGACTCAATGATCTCTTAAGGGGAGGAGCTGGTCTGACTGATTTGTCTTAAATAGCTTTCCTGACATTATCTGCAAGGGGATCTCCCTCATATGCCCATGAAACAGGACAAGTCTGAAAGCCGAGTCTGGGCTTAAGGACATGACAAGAGATTCTCTAGTTATTGTCACTGTCATTGTTCCCACCCTTAATAAGTTCAAAAAGTAAAGATCAAGAAGACCTCCCTTGGAAATATGTGCCAGAGCTTCCCTTCCAGATGAGTCACTGGTAACATAAAAGGAAGCTTGTCGTCTCTGCCAACTACTTGTGGTGAGGCCTTGGCAAGCAACTGAACCTCTCTACATCTCCCTTCCAAATCAGGACTGACATCGTCTGTGCCATTCATATCACACAGCTAGTGTAAGAACTAAAGGAGACAAGGATTAAGCATAACACAAACGTGGAGCCTCTCAAGTATCCTAGAAGTCGTGGTCTGAAAAGGTTGTGGAATGTCATCCATGTACAGACAAAACACACTGCAACACAGAACATGTCACAAAAGAAGTGAAGAGGCTTACCATGCTGAAGGACAGGTTCGCTCGCTTTTCTACCTCGCTCATAGCAACCAGATCTCTTTCTATCAAGTTGACTCTCTGGGTAAGATTACTGACTGTCTCATTCATTCCCTTGAGTTTAAGATCATTCTCTCTCTGGTACCCCACTAGGGCACTGTTTACCTCCTCTAAAAAGTTGTGGAGGTACAGGATATCCTGGAGTGGAAATAAATCAAGTTGTGGAATCCAGCTAAAGACATGTACTAGACAAGCAGGCCAGCAGCACTGAACAACCATTATTATGTCAACTTATTAAAGTAAACTCCTTTTCCTGCTCTTGACCATTGATCGTCAGTCTCTGTTTTGTCCCTCCACTCTGAACTGCTCCCAGTTTACTCCCTCTGGAATTGTCTGACCTCAGTTAGACAGGAGGGAGAAAGAGGGAAGAGACTACCAACATGATTCACTCTCTGGTCCCAGAAAGCTGAGAGCTTGGGAACTGATTTCCCAATGTTTACCTCACCTGCTGGCGAGAAAGCCTGCTGGGTTATTGACTGAAACGCTCAGTAACCTAATTTGTCAGAACAAAACTACGGTAGAAACAATACCAATTACTGAATTGGCTCATGTAGCAAAACCATAATAGGTAGTGCATTATTTAGTACAAGATTCAATTACTTTTGACATTCTCCAGTACTGACTGTTATTTAGAAAGGAATGATGATTATAGGCTTTAAAGGGCATTAAACTCAGGACAGGAATTCTTCGCAGTGAAGATTTCTTTTATTCTTTTTAATGTGATTCTGAACTCATCCTTTTCCCTCCTCTGGTCTTTAGAAAATCTTGATTTTCAAGGATATGCTTTCTAATGTTCTTAGTATTTACTGTGACCCCAAACAGCCATCACTTTGAATTAATCTGCTATCCATCCATCTTTAACTTGCCCAGATTGCTATTCAAAAACTGTTCAAAAACAGTTTCAGGATAATCTGGTCACTTTATGACTTTCAAGATGTGAAAAGGAATTTACTCCACTGATCGACATGCAGGGAGAAAAAGCAGACTGCCAAGGAAGACACAGGCAGCACGCTGGCTCCCTGACAGAGCCACACAACCCCCAACTCTGCTCAGCTCTCAGGCAGGCACAAGATGCCTGCTCAGGGCATGGAGCCTACACTACTCAGGCCGCCTCCAGAGTTCAATGGTCACAGGGAGTTAAGCCAGAGACAAAAGTACCTGTTTCAAGTTCTCACTGTGGGTTTTACTGTCAAGTTCAGATGTAGCTGACGGTGATGGAATGATCTGGTTGCTTCCACTGGTTTCCTTTAAGGCGTGCTGATTCTGTGAACAGGAATGAAGGTTGGTATAGGCAATAAGTAATTAAGTTTGCTTATCCATTAGAGACGGTCCTGGAACATTCCAGCTTCTCACAGGTGGCATCCACAGATTAATCAACAATTATTTCCCAGGAGCCTTGGTATGACCAATCCTGTGCTAGGTCTGAGGGCACCAGGTACTTCTGGGGATCCCCAGCCTAAAGCCTGGACTGGATCAGCAGCACCCAGACTGCGTCAGGGAACTGAGGTCCTCTGTTTCTCAGTCTCTGAATGCAATGAACTCCCTAGAAACCAGGCCTCCTCTCCCTGTCACCTGTACTCGCAGAGAAACTATACAACCACTGTATCTCCCAGGACCAATTCAGTCTGAACCTGGTTAGTGTCACTGTTTCCCCAGGACTAAAGAGATTTATACATTCAAAGAACAGCCAGTCGGGCTTCCCTGGTGGCACAGTGGTTGAGAGTCCGCCTGCCGATGCAGGGGACACAGGTTCGTGCCCCGGTCCGGGAAGATCCCACATGCCGTGGAGCGGCTGGGCCCGTGAGCCATGGCTGCTGAGCCTGTGCGTCCAGAGCCTGTGCTCCGCAACGGGAGAGGCCACAACAGTGAGAGGCCCGCGTACCGCAAAAAAAAAAAAAAAAAAAAAAAAAAAAAAGAACAGCCAGTCAAGGAACCACTGGCTTTGGGCACTGAGCACAGTAACCAACCATGCACATTATTAGTTTTTCAGTTTGTACAGCACATGCCAAGAGTTATGAGGGTTACCCTTCCTTTCTCATCCCCTTCCCACTGCTCAAGCCTCTCCTGGTGGCGACTGAAGTATAACATGCTTTTATATACACTTTTCCTTCTAATGGAAAAACTTTGTATGGCTTATTCAGTAGGAGGATTACCACTGGAAACCATGGAAGTTTAAAAGACGCACATTTAATGATAACAGGATGCAACTGGTCAAAATAAATTGTTTTCCTTGAAATCTGAAATCCTAGACATTTGTCAACTCTGCTTTTATAGGAAACAAATGGTAACAACAAAGAGAAAAGGAGGAGAGGATGAGAAAAAAAGAAAAAACCCCATATGGTTCTATAAAGTGTGAATGTCTGAGTTAGTAAAAAGTATTTTAGAAAATAAGTACTTTGAGAAAATGCTCAATCTATTAAAATAATAATAATAATAATAATAATAATAAAAGAACTGTTGAGTTAGAGAAGTCTTTATTATTATGGATCACATAGTTACTCAGTGGCAGAGTTGGAATTAGAATCCAGGGTGTCTGGATACCTAGATCAAGGCTTTTTCCTCTGGGTCAGCCCTACTAAATAAAAGTGACGAGTATTTGTTCTGAAGAAAAATGAAAAACCCTCCTTTCTAGAGCTCTAATATAGCCCAGGTCTCCTTGGCACAAACTGCCCAGTTTAAACTTGAAACTCCAAAGCTTGAAAAGAGCATGTAGGGAAGATCTAGAAATTGGGGGAGAGGCTAGGGAACTTCTGTGTGCCTTGAACTGTCCTGATTTCATATATGTATAACTCATCTCTCCAGCAGGACAGCGAGGGCTGTGCCATCCTTTTTCACCCTTCATAAATCTTTCATGGAGCTGAGTATCCGTTAGGAGATTAATTAAGGCCTCTGAATGACTGCAGACAGCTTACATCTGCACAGCATTAGCAATGTTTGAAAACAATTCCTGAGCACTGCAGGGGTTTGCTTCTGTCTCAGTTATCTGCTGCTGTATAATAAATCATCCCCAGGGACTTCCCTGGCGGTCCAGTGGTTAAGACTTCGCCTTCCAGTGCAGGGGGTGAGGGTTTGATCCCTGGTTGGGGAGCTAGGATCCCACATGCCTCGCCGCCCAAAAACCAAGGCATAAAACAGAAGCAATATTGTCACAAATTCAATAAAGACTTTTAAAACAGTCCACATCAAAAAAAAAAAAATCTTAAAAAAAAAAAAGAATCATCCCCAAACTTTGTGGCTTAAAACAAGTTTATTATTTCTCATGATTCTGTGGGTTGACTGGGCTCAGTGGGGGTGGGGTGGCTTCCTGTTCCCCGTGGTATAGGATGAGGTCACACATGTGGCTGTATTCGACTGCGAGACAGGCTGAAGCTGGAACACCCAAGATGGCCTTTCATCCTCTGGAGCTCCTCTTTGCTTTGCCTCTAATCATTCCCAGTCTAACAGCTCTGCCCAAACTCCTGATCCACAGAACAGTGAGAAATAATAAACTGTTGTTTTAAGCCACTAAGTCTTAGGGTGATTTGTTATGTAGCAATAAATAGGACACTTCCCCACTCCCCTTTCCTTCTTTTCCATTTTCCTTCCTACCCATTCAACTCTAAGGACAGTGTCTTAGTGCTGTATCTCCTCTACCACGTTTGCAAAAGACTCAGCTTTTAATCCTATCTACCTCAATTTATAGATCGTAGTAAAATCAATCAACACTGCTTATTTTATCTTTTAAAAAGGTGCCTGTGGGGCCTGTTTAGGTAAATGGAAAGTTGGTATCACAAGATTACACAGAAAAGGGTAGTTAGGAGTATGCTGACTTTCTGTAGCATTTGTAGATTTCCATACCATATCACTCTGCAGTGACTCCATGGTTTTCTTGTGTTCGTCCACAGTCTTCTGTATTGCCTCCACAGCAAGATGGACGCTGTTTAAAGTATTGCCAATGGAAGCTACACTCTGAACAGAAACATGTAGTAGGGTCAGCATTTTTTCCTTTTTACAAAACTTTAATAACTTTATTTATAACTGAGAAACAATAAACTGCACGTATTTAAAATGTATAACTTGATAAGTTTTTACATATATATACATACACACACACACACACATATATATATATATATACACACACCTGTGAAACCATTACCACGATCAAGATAATAAACATCCATCACCCCCAAGTTTCCTCATGCCTCCTTGTAATTCTTCCCTCCCTGTTCCCAGGCAACCACTGATCCACTTTCTATCACTATATATATGTGTCACTATCTATCTATCTATCCATACACTTATATATATCAGTTTGCATTTCCTAGAATTTTACATAAATAGAACAGTGAGTGAGCATGTACTTTTTTTTTTTTTTGGTACGGCTTCTTTCATGCAGCACAATTATTCTGAGATTTATGCATGTTGTAGCTACTCAGCATGTTGTGGAGTAGCATTCCATTCTACAGATACATCACCTTGACCTGCTGATGGTGTTTTAGATTTTAGGTTGTTTTCAACATTTGACTATTACAAATAAAGCTGCTATGAACATTAATGTACAAGCCTTCATGTGGGCATATGCTTTCATTTCCCTTCATCATAAGCTTTCTTGTTATCACAATTCCTATGACGTGAGTGGCTGATCACATGGTAGATGTAGGCTTAACTTTTGTACTCCGTCTCCTCATCAACACTGGTATCCTCAATCTGTTCCATGTTAGCCATTCTAGTGGGAGTGTAGTGGTATAGCATTGTGATTTTACTTAACACTGACCTAATGGAGGATTATTTCAAATATCTTTGAACTATGAACTCCATGTAGTTTATACTGACACAATTAACCAGAAACTACACATACACACACACATAATTTTCATAGAGGAAAGCCAGATCTTTCCTTAAAAACAAAACAAAACAAACAAAACAAAACCCCCCCCAAAAAACTAGCTTATAAATCTGGGATCCGTAGGTAAAGTTCTCCCACAAACTGCCTCTATCAAGCCCTGCAGGCAGATGGCCAGAGCTATCATTGTAGACTGCCACTCTCAGGAGCAAATGATGACTTTTGAGTGAAAATGGGTGGAACCATTTTTGGCCTTGGAAAACCCAGCATTGCAGAGATGAAGGGAAAATTCCATTTGGCAGCATGTGTTCTTCTGCTTTAGAATCCCATCAGTAACTACTGAGTAGAGTTAGATATAGCTAGTAGCTTACTTGCTTTCATTAGGTCCAAGGAGCCCAAGTGGATTGCGGACTTAGGAATATAATTCAGAAATGATCTTTTAAAACAGTCTTGTCCTACAGGAACATCTAAAAGAGTGTTACTAATTTGATAGGTTTTGGTCTTTCATTAAGATATACTGATAATTTTATAGTGTCCCATTAGTATTTTTAACCAAGGGTGTTTTTATTATACTGATAGCCAAGAATCCAAGAGAAAAAGAAATGACATTTTCAACATTAAAAAAAAAAATTACATGAGATACATTGAAGTTACGTTTTTTGAGATGACCTACCACTTCAAAACTGAGCCACCTGTAATAAAAGTAGTGCCTGACATTATAAATGCACAGATTTGCAGAGACAACATACTGGGTAGAAGTCTCTAAGCTGGGATTTTGTCTGTGTAAGGTCTGTTGTTACAGCAGCTACAAGCATTCAAAGACATCCACTGTTAAGAGAATCTTCACTGGCCTGATGCATGAGCCCATCAGGACGCAAGAAGATAGTAAGCTCTTGTTTAAGACTTTTTTTTTAAGGAAGCAGCTGACAGAGCCATGTGAACTCTAGAGCAAAACCCTGAAACTAGTATTCTCACCAACTGCAAAGTGCCTGGCACATACTGGAGGAAGCCCCACAAATGTTTGTTGAATTAACGAATGCAAGAATAAACCAATTTCCTTTTTGAATGCAAGACTGCCAGAGTTGCTTCTGTATTAAAGGTTACAGAGGCCTACCTTTTTCCCCACTTGGCCCTTGGGAATAATGGCAAAAACAGTCTGGTCTCTGTATTAAACGCTACAGAGGCCTACCTTTTTCCCCACTTGACCCTTGGGAATAACGGCAAAAACAGTCTGGTCTCATCAAAGTTGTCCCTACTTTTTTTTTTAAGTTGTAAGCAGATGACCATATTGGACAAACAGCAGACTATAGAGACTGAGCACACACAGGTGGTGTGGCTATAAAATAACAAGTTTTGTTTCTGGCTTAGGAATTTCTCACTCCTTTGAGGAAACAATTTATACGTTTATGGAGCCTGGTATATAATCAAATCAAACTCAGCACACACTGACTTTTAAAAGCCAAAGATTCTAGATTTGATACCCATTGTTTGGGGTTCCCTGCTCCAGAATCCTTCTTCCACTTCCTGCTACAGGGCCTCATGTTGCTTGTGTGCCCATTAAGCACACTCTTTTCCTTCCATTCCCTACCCACTCTCCCCACCCAGCTCTAAAGATCCCAATATATTCTTCATCTGGTTGGTTACTGCCTCCTGCTCTAGGCTGAATCCTAGGGATCAAGTAATTGATCCCTAGAACAAACAAATCCCTAGAACTTTAGAACAAATTCTAAAGTAATGTTTGCCTAGGCCCTAGAGTCTAGGGCATATACCTAAGAGTGATTTGCTTAGAGGGTGTGTCTCTCTACCTTTATAAAATAATATATATTGTTTTCCAAAATGCTTTTTACCAATTTATACTCCCAGCAGGAGTGTTTGGAAGTTTCCCTCTATCCACATCCTTGCCAGTACTTATCACATCCTGAATTTTTATTTTGCACTTCCCCAAATTATCTTTAAAAAACAAAACCAACGAAAACAAACAAAAAATCCTCTCTCTTTCTCAATCATGGAAAATAATAGCAACTTAGAGCAACTCTCATGTACAATTGCTCTGCTTTCATAAAGACGTTGTGGATGATGAACTGAAAAAGGCAAGTAGTGAAAAGCAAACCCACACATGTTAACACAAGAGTCCCAGCAAAGCAATCCCGGGACTTGGAAAGCCCAATAAAAAGGTGTGAATCCATATAAACCATAGCTAAAACCACCTGTTGCAAATTAAAGGCCCAACCAACCAGACCAAAGCAGAGATGTCTTGAACTCTATTACTGTCCCCTTGGAGTAGCTGATTTCAAATGCCAGCCTTTCAAAGAGAATTTGTAAGAAGACAGAATTACAGTAGGTTAATTTCAGTGCCCATACACAGCACTTACCTTCTGAAGTCCCTCTACAGTGGCAGGCAGGCTAATTAATTCTGCAGCTGACTTGACATTGGCTTTGAGGTGGTTTACTGCAGAAGTCAGCAGAGAAATCTAAAAGGAAATGAGTAATAAACAATGAAAACAGAACTTGTAGAACAATGCTCCCTTCACACACTATACAGCTGATGGTGATGTCAAGCACCTTTGGACATCACGCAATTCTGTGATCCAGACGTTCTGCCCGGTCAGGTCACAGGAGTAGAAGAACTCTGCAGAGTACCTTGGAGAGACTTGAGATGTGGAAGGAAGCAATAACACCCCTTCTCTCCCTGCCCAGTTTAAATACCAGTGCCAAGAAGGGAAAGGCAGGCATTATTCTTTACCCCACTCCTGGCAGCTACAAGATGCAAAAATCTTAAATTACCCAAAAGATGCAGTAATTACAACACAGTCCTTCAACAACTGGACAGGAAGAAAGCTAATGATCAAGGACCTCTGAAAGATTCTATTTTGGTAAAAAATATACCACCTCAGTTATTTGCTGAACTTTTGTTTCTGCCCAAGTGGGAACATATATTATAAAGTAAAAGCCCAACATCACAATATACAGTTGACAGCAATTGAACCCTGACAACTTGAATGGCACTTTCAACTACTTGGGGATTTAGTTTTGGTTTAACAATGTGATTAATATTTCAAACTCAACAGCTCAACCAAAGCACTACTTTGTACCCTGAAGGGGCTCAATAAATACCCACTGACCTGCTGGCTGACTGATATACTGAATGTATTAAAATAGGAATTGAATCAAAATAAAAAGTATCTTCCCTTCTGCTATTTATGGGTAAAATTCTAAATAGCTGGACTTCTCTCTAGAATGAGGACTGGTGGAACCTGTGTAACACTCAGTTTCAGGTTGCAGAGATCATATTCTAAAAACCTTGTATTGTGGCTCAAAACTTGGTTCCATACTGCTTTCCTGTCCCAAATTCTAGGATGAGGACACAGATCTACCAATAGCAATTATATTCAGAATGGCCTCACAGAGTAACCATGAAAGTTTCTGGGCACTTGTGACATGCCTAACCCTGTGGTAGGCATCAGATGGATACAAGAAAAAGTAAACCTGACCCCTTATTCTTTTCTTCAACAAATGCCTGGCACCTTCTCTGTGCCCAGAACTGTGGAGAAAGTGGCAAATAAGACCGTGAGGTTTTGCTTTCATGGAGCTTACATCCTGGTAGGAGGTGACAGAAGAACAAAGAAGCAAAGTATTAGATAGTAATAAGTACTGTGTACAGTATTTCAGGAGAGCTCCTGGAGTGAGCAGCAGCGTGTTCTGAACAAGGGAGTGCAGTGAGGAGCCCTGGAACTCTTCTCCCTCTTTCCTTTTAGGAGGGATGTGTTCAGGGGCGTCAGACCATTTTCCTTTCATTCACCCACTCATTCATTCATTCCTGCAACAAATATCTTTTAAGCCCTGTTTTATTCCAGTGGTGAACAACACAGATGTCAGTGATCTTTGGTGTTTACATTTTAGTACAAAGAGACAATTAGATATAAGAAAAATTAGATAGCGGGATACATTAGAGGAAAATGAAAATAAGGTGACTTCTGTTTACAACAGCCAGGACATGGAAACAACCTAAATGTCCATCAACAGATGAATGCATAAAGAAGATGTGGCACATATATACAATGGAATATTACTCAGCCATAGAAAGGAATGAAATGGAGTTATTTGTAGTGAGGTGGATGTACCCAGAATCTGTATACAGAGTGAAGTAAGTCAGAAAGAGAAAAACAAATACTGTATGCTAACGCATATATATGGAATTTTAAAAAGCGGTACTGATGAACCTAGTGGCAGGGCAGGAATAAAGACGCAGAGGTAGAAAATGGACTTGAGGGCATGGGGAGGAAGGGGAAGCTGGCATGAAGTGAGAGAGTAGCATTGACATACATACCCTACCAAATGTAAAATGGATGGCTAGTGGGAAGCTGCTGCATAGCACAGGGAGATCAGCTCGCCGCTTTGTGACGACCCAGAGGGACGGGATAGGGAGGGTGGGAGGGAGGCTCAAGAAGGAGGGGATATGGGGATATATGTATACATACAGCTGATTCACTCTGTTGTACAGGAGAAACTAACACAACATTGTAAAGCATTTATACTCCTATAAAGGTGTGAAAAAAAAAAATAAGGTGACGATGAGTGACTGGGTAGCTACTTTAGATTGGACTGCCAGAGAGGGCCTCTATTAGAAGATGAAATTTAAACTGAGATCTAAATAATAAGGAATTAACCAGAAAGAGAGATCAAAAGAAGTACATTTCAGGGCAGAGGGAATTGCTAGGGCAAAGGTCCCAGTGTGGGGAAGAGCTTGGCATATTTGAAGAATAGAAAGAAGGCCTTGGGGGGCAGGAGCAAAATATGAGTGAGAAAAGGAGAGGGAGGGGGGAGGGGAAGAGAGAGTAGGGGGGAGAGGCAGAGGGAGGGGAGAGAGAGGGAGGGAGAGGGAGAGGTACAAGTAGATAGGTAACATTAAAGAAACAAGTACTAAATGTGATACTGAATACAGTCTAAGAAAATATTAGTGCAGGTTGAAAGGGACAGGCTTCACTGAAGCAGGACTCAAATCACGCTCTGATAGAGAAGTAAGAGTTTTATATATAGAAATAAATCAGCTATCCTTTCTAGGTTAGAAGGGTGAGTGTGGCATCGGGGAACAGGTAGGGAGCAATAGCAAGAATAGGCCCAGGAATACTTTTCCTTCACAGCATTTCTCAGAGTGACAATGATTTATTTATGTGTGTGATTTTAAATTAAGGTTTCTCTCCTCCACTAGACAGTAAGCTCCATGTCATCAAGGACCATGTCTGTTTTATTTTCCATAATATGCCTGACACAAAGACAGGCATTCAATAAGCATCTACCAAATGAATGAATGGCTAAAAATGAACACTCTGTGTCTGGGATGGATGCTGAGAAGGGTAGTCCAAGCAGAGTAGAGGGTAGAGTCTAGGAAGTAGGAGATAAGGCTACATAAGTGTGAACTCATTCTCCTCACTGGTAGCATGGTATAACAACAACCATCTCATAGGGACATGTGATGGTTTTAAAATATGTCCACAAATTCTTTGATAGTCCTCCCTTCAAGAGGTGGACACTAATTCCCTTTCCCTTGAGTGTGGCCTGCACTGAGTGTCTCAATTTTGGTCCACAGAATAAAGTGCAAGTGACAACAGGCAACTTGGAAAACTAGGTCATAAAAAAGCACTGTCTTACTTTTTGCTCTCTTTTGGATCACTCACTCTGGATAAGCCGGCTGCCATGTTGTGATAACACTCAAGCAGCCCCATGGAGAAGCCATGGTGGGACAAACTGAGACCTCCTGCCAACAGCCATGTGAGTGAGGATGCTTCAGTCCCAGTCAAGCCTTCAGATATGCAGCCCTGGCCGTATATCTTAGCTGCAACCTTAGAGAGATCCTAGCCAGAACAACTCAACTAAGCTGCTTCCAAATTTCTGACCCAGAAAACCTGTGAGATAATAAATGTTTGTTGTTTTAAGTCATTAAGCTTTGGGACAAATGTAACACAGCAACAGATGACTAATACAGGCTATGAGGCTTAAATGAGATACATATCTAGAGCTCTCAGCACAGTACCCGATACAAACAAAATACCAAGTAAGTGTTAGCTCTTTAATAATGAAATTTAATGAGCACTTAAAAATGCAATTCTCCATAAGTGCTCCAAAATACTCAGACTAATCTTCAACATTCCAACTCTATCCATTTAAAAATAAAATGGGTGAGAAACTTCAGCTCCAGAGAGATACTCTCAGCAAACTATAAACCTCTTAAGAGCAGCAGTTACATCAAGGAGGTTTTAATACATGCCCTTAAAAAGATATGAATAACACTGATGTTTGAAAAGCACATACGGAAATAGGTATTCTCATGCACTGTTAATGGAAATGTAAATTGGAGACTTGTTAGATGGTTATCTAGGATTATCTGTCACAATTTGAAACGTTTACACCCTTTAATTCAGCAATTTCATTTCTAGAAATCTATCCTAAAGGTTACTTGCTTAATCAAAAAGAATAAAATACCCAGGAATAAATCTAACTAAGGAGGTAAAAGACCTGTACTTGGAAAACTGTAAGACCCTGATGAAAGAAACTGAAGATGACACAAACAGGTGGAAAGATGGATCGTGTTCATGGATTGGAAAAATTATTGTTAAAATGACCATACTGCCCAAGGTAATCTACAGATTCAATGCAATCCATATCAAAATACCAATGGCATTTTTCACAGAACTAGAACAAATAATTCTAAAATTTGTATGGAAGCACAGAAGGCTCTAAATGGCCAAAACAATCTTGAGAAAGAACAAAACTATAGGTATCATGCTCCCTGATTTCAAACTATACTATAAAGCTACAGTAATCAAAACAGTATGGGACTGGCACAAAAACAGACACATAGATCAATGGAACAGAAAAGAGAGCCCAGAAATGAACCCACACTTATCTGGGTAATTAATCTACAACAAATAAGGCAAGACTATACAATGGGGAAAAGACAGCCTCTTTGATAAATGGTGTTGGGAAAACTGGACAGCTACATGAAAAAGAATTGAACTGGACTATTCTCTCACACCATGAACAAAAATAAATTCAAAATGGATTAAAGACTCAAATGTAAAGACCTGAAACCATAAGACTTCTACAAGAAAACACAGGTAGTAAGCTCTTTGACACTGGTCTTATTAATACTTTTTTGAATATGTCTCCTTAGGCAAGAGAAACAAGCGAAAATAAACAAACGGGATTTCATCAAACTAAAGTGCTTTTACACAGTGAAGGAAACTGTCAACCAAACAAAAAGGGATCCCACTGAATGGGAGAAGATATTTGCAAATGATATGTCTGATGAGGGGTTAATACTCAAAAATATACAGAGAGCTCACACAACAACATCTAAAAAACAAACAACCCAATTAAAAAATGGGCAGAGGATCCGAACAAACTTTTTTCCAAAGAAGACAGGCACATGAAAAGATGTTCAACATGACTAATCATCAGGGAAATGCAAATG